TCTCCATCATTTCTGTTTAACACCCTAGACTGACAAGGTCCCAAGTTTCAGTGGAAATTTTTAACCGCTTTTAACAAAATACCTGTCTGCTGTATCTATTTCTACACTACATCAACCTAAGCTACACAGCTCCAGCTACATGGATAAAATACCCAGAATCAATGCATCTTAGGTTGAGGGGGCAATGGGAGAAACTCTCCCGTCAACTACCCTTCCTTTTTTCAACCAGGTTAGACTAAAAAGGTTGACTGGAAAGTGACCTGTGGTCAATTTACTGGTCATCATTAGACCTGCTAAATCAACTGCCAGTGAATCGATCTTAGAGCATCAATCATTGCTACAATGTAGATGAAGCCTATCAGTCTTCTAGTCATTTATATTGTGCTCCTCCTAAAGATGTCTGAATCACAGCACCCTGACAGCCTAGTAAACAAATATTTCAATCAGAGAATACAAAAGAACTGGAAGGAATCTTGAGAGGTCATCAAGTCCAGTTCCCTGCCCTCATGGCAGGACCGAGAAACGGCTAGATCATCACTGAGAGGTGTCTCTCTAACCTGCTCTTAAATATCTCCAGTGATGGAGATTCCACAACCTCCCTGGGCAATTTATTCCAGTGTTTAACCACCCTAATAATTAGGAAGTTTTTCCTAATGTCCAACCTAAACCTCCCTTGCTGCAATTTAAGCCCATTGCTTCTTGTTCTATCCTCAGAGGCCAAGGAGAACAATTTTTCTCCGTCCTGCTTGTAACACCCTTTTAGATACTTGAGAACTGCTATCATGTCCCTTCTCAGACTTCTCCTTTCCAAACTAAATAAGCCCAGTTCTTTCACTCTTCCCTCATAGCTCATGTTCTCCAGACTTTTAATCACTTTTGTTGTTCTTCTCTGGATCCTCTCTAGTTTCTCCACATCTTTATTTAAATGTGGTGCCCAGAAGTGGACACAGTACTCCAAATGAGGCCTAATCAAACAGATTTGACTGATGGAACAGGAGCCATTTAAAAAAATGTTCAAAGCATTTCCCATTATTTCCCCCCCCCCCTTTTTTTTTTTTTTTTTTGCATTCTGTCTAATAATTTTCTAAACCCACTGAGATTTTCAGCTTATAGATGTGTTTTTAAGGCTGAATTGGGATCTAATGAGACTTTGGTAGAAAAATTATTAAAAAGATTCGTTCATCTTCATCCTTTCAAGCACATATATTGACAATGGAGTTGTAACAAGAAGACTATAATTTTCATTTATAATATTGATTGTAGCTCATGTTTGTATGGGCCTTTTCCTGTACAAATTTATAGCAGCACTGAATGGAATTAATTTGGATTTTGGGCAACGGACCCTTGATCTAAATCTAAAGTAGCTCTGCAGACATGCACTACATGTGAGCATTGATATTTCATTTTAGTAAAAGCTAAAAATAATTTCAAGGCTTGTGTCTGAAAAAGTGAAAATCTGTTTAATTAACAATATTTTAAAATGTCCTGAATCATCAGGAGGATTTTCACGTAGTTATGAACAGCCGTTCATTTAATGGTTGGCGCTGACAATGGGAAAGAAAAAAATCTTTTGTTGGAATTATCCGGTTTGTGTCCGTTTTCTTTTGCAAACCGATACAAACTTTCCTTCCATTTCTGTGGTTGGCCGGTGCCAGCATTCCTGACCTTAGGGAATAAGAAACATGAAGGAAGAGCTATACTCAACGGACAGACAATGTCCTTGTAAAAGTGCCTGAGGGTGTTATATGGGAGTGCTGTGAATTTCAAAGGCACCTACAGGAAATCAAATACCCATCTCTTGCTGAAAGTTAATGGGATTTGGATACTTGCTTAGTCTTCTGTTAAAATCCCTGCCTAGAGTAATAAAAAATTTCATTTCACACAATCATGCAACAAATAAAAGAGAAATGACTTAATGAAAAACAACAACACCGCAGTGAGTCCAGCAAAGACAGAATGCCAGGTCTCATGAAAATACAAAATCCATAGGCCTACATTGGCAGAATTGTCTCCTTCTCCACTGGTTTGCATCTTGTGTGATCATTTGTAGCTCTGCAGGGTGTGTGTGTGTGTTTGAGAGAGAATCACTGTTTTGCATCTTGTGTGATCATTTATAGCTCTGCAGGGTGTGTGTGTGTGTTTGAGAGAGAAGGAGAGAAGGCAATGGGATTCTCACGTGCAGAAAGTGAAGCAGGGGCATAAGCGCCTGCAAGCTCAGAGGTTTACTGTGCCCTGAAAGAGGTGCAGGGCATTGGAGAATTCGGTCTGTTTACCGAAGCTGCATGAAATTTGTCTGTAGTAACTTTAGACCCATATGTCTTATGCAGCCTCTAACGAGCTTGTGTTTCCAGAAGCACTGTCTACACTTCTGTCCAGATCAATATTGAGACCATAACATCTCCCGTACTGGAACTGCTAGAAATACATTTCTTGATCGGAATTGTGTGGTTTAAATGTATCACCTACCCCCCTCTGTCCAGTGCCCCCAGCTCGGGGTACATCTTCACTTTGAGGTGGAGATGCCATTTGATTGGGCTAGTGGCTAAAAACAGAGGGTAGTCACTGAGACACAAGTGATGTGGGGGCCAGCCGCATGAGAACCTGCCTATTGTACTTGGGATGCCTAGTCCCTCTCACAGCTGTCCTACGCTTCTACAATTATTCCATTCACTCAATCAGACCTAGCGCAAGTTTGTCTCCTCAAGCTGGAATTTGCCACTCCAGCGCAAAGCACAGACATACCCTGGGGACAAGCCCTTTCTCTGAATTCCCTCATGTTACAGTGGGTGGAAATTTTGCCTGCCAAAACATTATTTCCCCCTATGAAAAAATGACTTTGAACCACAAACATTTTTCAGTGTTTGGTTTTCCATTGGGAAATAACAATTGGAAAGGGAAATTTGGGGACAGAGGAGAAAATAAAATGTTTCAAAAATATCTGTGGACAATAATTGGGAATTTTTGACTGGCTGCTCTGACTGGTGCTTGAGAAGTTTCACTTCAGCAGTGTCTCTGCGCTCCCTGAGTCCTGTGTGTACATGAATCCACAATATTCTTGCCAGCAAGTTAAGGAAGTATGGATTGGATAAATGGACTGTAAGGTGGATAGAAAGCTGGCTAGATTATCAGGCCCAATGGGAAGTGGTGGTCAGTTTCTAGCAGAGTGCCCCAAGCATTGATTCTAGGGCCAGTTTTGTTCAACGTCTTTATTAATGACCTGGATGCGGGGATGGATTGCACCCTCAGCAAGTTTACGGAGGACACTAAGCTAGGGGGAGAGGTAGATACGTTGGAGGGCAGGGACTTAGACAAAGTAGAGGATTGGGCCAAACGAAATCTGATGAGGTTCAACAAGGACAAGTGCAGATTCCTGCACTTGGGATGGAAGAATCCCAAGCATTGTTACAGGCTGGGGACCGACTGGCTAAGCAGCAGTTCAGCAGAAAAGGACCTGGGGATTACAGTGGGTGAGAAGCTGGATATGAGTCAACAGTGGGCCCTTGTAGCCAAAGTGAATGGAATATTAGGATGCATTAGGAGGAGCTTTGCCAGCAGATCTAGAGAAGTGATTATTCCCCTTTATTCAGCACTGGTGAGGCCACATCTGGACTGTTGCATCCAGTTCTGGGCCCCTCACTACAGAAAGGATGTGGATTCATTGGAGAGGGTCCAGCATAGGGCAACCAAAATGTTTAGAGGGCTGGAGCACATGGAAAGGCTGAGGGATTTGGGCTTACTTAGTCTGCAGAAGAGAAGAGTGAGGGGAGATTTGATAGCAGCCTTCAACTTCCTGAAAGGAGGTTCCAAAGAGGCTGGAGAGAGGCTGTTCTCAGTGGTGACGGATGGCTGAACAAGGAGCAATGGTCTCAAGTTGCAGTGGGGGAGGTCCAGGTTGGATATTAGGAAAAATTATTTCCCTAGCAGGGTGGTGAAGCACTGGGATGGGTTCCCTAGGGAGGGGGTGGAATCTCCATCCCTAGAAGTTTTTGAAGTCCAGGCTTGACAAAGCCCTGGCTGGGCTGATTTAGTTGGGGTTGGTCCTGCTTTGGACAGGGGGCTGGACTTGATGACCTCCTGAGGACTCTTCCAATCCTATGATTCTATGACTCTATGAAGGGGAGAAATTCCCCAGATGCTTCCTTAACAGGGGCAACTACATGGACTCAGGTACCTAGCTGCTCTTTAAAATCTCACCGGGCGTCACTCATGTTTGGGGACTGTGCCTGTAAGGACTGAACCTCCCAGATGAATTCAGAGAGCAGCACGGTGAAGTTTTATTGTTATGCACAGCTATGTGGTCGTGCAAACCGAATCAAGTACCTTAAGCACTGAGGGACCACTAAACACCACAACACCTATCTGCCTCTTTGTGCAACTGGCCCTCAGTCTTCCGTTTGACATCTACTCCAAATCCTCTCTTGATCTTGAATGGGGACTGCATTGAAGGGGAATTGTATTGAATAATCTGCAAACAGCCCCAGTCACACCCTTGTTCGGTGGTGAGTTTAGCCTCCAGGATTGATGTCAACCACACAGACAACAAAGCAAGGGGAGCAGGAAAACACACTCTTACCTTGAACATTTTCATGGTAAATCTGTTCGCTTGCCTGAAATTAAACCCAAACAGCAGCATTAGCGATAACCAAATAACACTTAGGGATGGCTCCTAGCTCACCCAAACTGACCTGCTAAGAATCTGGAAAGTGGCAGCAAAGATACCAAATTTGGAGGCTGCATTTTATCACAGGTGACATTCATCCTCAAACCAATGTTCCTCTAAGCTCTGCACCCCATGCAAATATCTCACTACAATCATGTTTTCAGTTTTACATTTCCCTTTGCTTTGGCTCTGTTCCAGGGACCCACCCTGCATGTCTCCTGCCACCGTTTGTACCAACGTTCCTTTTGCCAGCCGGTGAGATGGAGCGATAGCATTAGAATGTCACCGTCAAATTCACTACAATGAATTTGGGAGTCTCCACCTTAGCCTGGGCTATTTTAGTGTGCCCTTAATATTCTTGTGTATTGCAGTAGCACATAAAAGTTGCAGTCATGGGCCCCTTGTGCTTTGCACCTAAATATGGTCCCTGACTCCAAAGATCTTACAGTCTAAGGATAAGACAAGAGACAAGAGGTGGAGGGAGACACACAGACAGACTGACTGACTGACAGACTCACACACAGGGGAGCACAAGGGAACCATGTGTCCTACACTTTAATTAAACTCATCCAAACAGGCGGTGCTAGTAGGAGTTCTGTTAAACTTTCTCCGATGGAAATTCCACTGTCTGCATTTTATGCTTTACACCAGTGGTCCCCAACCTTTTGAGGTTGTCGGACGCCAGGGGGCGTGGCCGTTCACCCGCCGGGCGCCAGGGGGCGGGGACACTTGCGCGCCCGGGAGCGCCCCCCCATAGCCGCTTGCCCAGGGCTGGGGCCCCCCCCATAGCCACGCGCCTGGGGCCGGTGCCCCTCCAAGGGCTGTCCACTGCATTTTATGCTTTACACCAGTGGTCCCCAACCTTTTGAGGTTGTCGGACGCCAGGGGGCGTGGCCGTTCACCCGCCGGGCGCCAGGGGGCGGGGACACTTGCGCGCCCGGGAGCGCCCCCCCATAGCCGCTTGCCCAGGGCTGGGGCCCCCCCCATAGCCACGCGCCTGGGGCCGGTGCCCCTCCAAGGGCTGTCCACCCGGGGGCTGTGTGCCTGGGGCCGGCGCTTCCCCTCCCCCCGCAAGCGCCGCGCGCCCGGGGCCGACGCTCCCCGAAAGCGCCGCGCCATGTGCCCAGGGCCAGGCCAGCCCCGAGCACCTGGCGGGCGCATTCAAATGCCCCCGCAGGCGCCATGGCGCCCACGGGCACCGTGTTGGGGACCACGGCTTTACACACTAACAAGCAGATTTTGCCAGACAGAGTTCAAACACTTCTGTGTGTCCCCGGCTGTGTCTACACTGGCATGAATTTCCGGAAATGCTTAAAACGGAATACTATTCCATTTTCAGTTTTTCTGGAAAAGGAGCGTCTACATTGGCAGGCTGCTTTTCCGAAAAAGCCCTTTTTCCGGAAAAGCGCCGGTGGCCAATGTAGACTCACTTTTCCGGAAAAGAGCCCCGATTGCCATTTTCGCGATTGGGGCTTTTTTCCGGAAAAGACTACTGGTCTGTCTACACTGGCCCTTTTCCGGAACAGTGTTCTGGAATAAGGACTTATGCCCGAGTGGGAGCAGAATAGTTTTTCCGGAATAGCGGCTGATTTTGTACAGTAGAGCATCGTTGCTTTTCCGGAAATTCAAGGGCCAGTGTAGACAGCTCGCAGCTTATTCCTGAAAAGCGGCTGATTTTCTGGAGTAAATGGCCCAGTGTAGACACAGCCCCCGAGATTGGAATTAAGAGCTGGACCTGCAGCTGGGCTTTGAACTCCCCTTTCTAGTTGCTGAATTTGGATCTGGCTTTGGCTTTGGAGCATCCCCTGCAAAGTTTGCGGGTGTTTGGCTCCGGGAGCTCTGTTGAGGCTCGTCTCTGGCTAGGACCGAGTCTCAGATTTGGCTAGCTGTCCTTGTAGCTGGGATTGCACTGTGATTTCCACGTGTGCTGCAAGCCATCTTCATCTGGGGAGGGGCATAACGGCTTCTGTAAGCCTCTAAAATACGTGGTTAGTGGAGGGGAGAGCGAGGGATGAAGCAATCCTGTGCAGTCTGCCTGCAAATGTTTGAGCTAATAAAGACTGCAGCAGGGCAGAGCAGGGACTGCAGGGCAGTGTGACCTCCCCATGAAACAGGCTGTGAGCCCAGATAGGGCTCGGGGAGACATGTCCCCAGCCCCGTCCCAAGCTCTACCCCTTTTTTCCCAGTCCCCAGCCCCACAGGACCCAAGCCATCCTCCCCCAGCACCACAGGGAGGGCAGGCAGCATGCAGCCCCAGCCTCTCTGGCCCCAGATCACGGGGAGGGTGGGCACTCGGGGGGCAGCAGCATTCCATGCCCTCCACGCCTCCAGTAGGTGTGATGGGGGTGGAGAATGGGCGGGGCCAGGAAGACCAGCTTCAGGATCCATTCCAAGCCCAGACCATCCACACAAGGGCCCTTGCTGACTTCAGGGTCTCCTGCAGTTTGCCCCTCCCCCTTTTGCAGCCTGGCTCCCAGTGGAGCTGTGTGGACAGGATTCCGCTGTCCTCTCCCCTCAAGCCCGCCCCTGAGGAGGGAATGCCAAACCCTGAGGGGAGAGACACAGGAAGATAAGATGGCCTGAGCTACCGCTCCGGTCTGCAGTCTGCAGGGTGAATGATGCTCACAGGGCCCAGTTCCTCAGTCTTTCTGCCTCAGTTAAGGCCCCCCAGTTAAGACACGGACAATGCCACTTACCTCCCAGGGGTTGTTCTATGGCTCCATTCATGGATTAGTGTTTGCAAAGTGCTCGGAGCCCCCCTGGTGAAAGCCACTTTAAGATAGCTTAGGTTTATTCACCCTTTCAAATCCTTCGTGCATGTACGTGTCGCCTCCCGGCAGGACTTTCTGCAGCTCTTCTAGGCCTTGACGTATCTGGTCCCTGGAAGGTTAAGACAGACACTCGCTCAGGTCTGTTAGCACTGTCAGGCCGAGCAGTGCGCGACATGCAGGTGGGCAGGCGGGAAGTTAGGCCAGGTCTACTAGCTACAGCCTATGTCAGCAAACTATCCCCCCCGCCAGTAACAGCGCCAGCACCGGTGTACATAGCACTGTGTGGGTGGGAGAGCTTCTCTTGCCCACACAGCTTACACTGCTTGTGGGGTGGGATTTCTGCACAATGGGAGCGCTCTGGTATCGGCAGTGGTATCGGCACAGCCGCGCTGTGGCAGCGCTGCATGCAGACACGGCCTCGTCAGCTCAGGTCCTGCGCTGCTGCTGCACCCACCCCTGCAGCCAGCAACTCTAGGAACCCTCCTAGTTCCCTCCTCTCAGCTGTTTATTGGTGCTACTGTAAACGACCAGAGGGGCCACCAGCCACTGCAGGCCCTGGGCAAGGTGTGCAGGGGCGGGGCCTCGGACAGAAGAGGTGGGACTGGGACATCCAACCCTTGGCACTGCCCAGACCATGGCATGCCTCTCCCCAGCCCTCAGAGCATGGAGCTCTGCCGCTCCGGTGGGAATTCAAAGGGGCCTGGGGCTCTGGCGGTCACCACAGCCGCAGTCGCCCCGGTGAATCACTGGGCTCCAGTGCGACTGTGCCCTTTGCCCCGCCCCGCCCTCATCAGCGGGTCTGTAAACAACAAACATGTTTAATCCCCTCGGCTACATATGGCAGGTCCGGTCCTTACATACAAACTTCAGCCACAGTCATGGTAACCTAAGAATTGATGGGTTGGCTTTGTAAATGGGAAGAGGGGCCTCTCCCTTTAGGGGTGTGAAAACTAGGCCCGAGTCGATTTACACGGCTATTTCCACAGCCTGGAGAAAGCATCAGAAAGAAACCTCACCTCTAATCTAATACTCTGGCATCGGTACGTCTCTCCACTCGTACTCCCTTTACAGCCCCACTGTATCTCCTGGCCAGACAATGGCAGCTGTTAACTTACATCTGGCTTTCATTCTTCAGTCATGTTTGGTGATGACACCAGCTGAATCCAACAGCCATGAATGTGATAACAATAATCTAAAGCTCCAGTATATTTGGATACGACACCTTCCACTCCCAGCCAAACCCAGCTTCAAGATTAATGAGCTAATGGAAAAGGCTTTAAGAGTCAGGGTGTCCCATTCAATGTGTTGGAATCCCAGGCATAGCGACTGATCAATCAGAAGTTAAGCATGATGGGCCCCATGTTTCACTGAGCTGCAGACTCCGATATGTGGGAGCCAAGTACGGTTTTAATAACGCCTTTGTGGTGTGCGGGGGATCTCTGAATGAACTATTGCTATCTCTCTTCATGGGAACTAGGTGGAACCAGTTAGTTCGCAACACCCCCTACTCTGCTGACCTAAATGCCAGAGATTTTTACCCACGTGGCCCTAAATCTCCTTTGCTGTGTGGCTCCAGGACTCTTCTAGGAATGGAAGAAACAAATAAAATGGGAATAAAATGTCCATGCGTCCACCTATCTGTACCGTTTGAGTTTTCAAATGTGGGCACTCATCAGAAAATGAGCTCATGCCTGAAAATTATGGGGTTACCACTCCCTACTAGAAATGCAGGTATTTTCATGAAGTTTAGGATACCGTAAAATCACCCAAATAAGACATAGTGAGGCTGGCAACTTCAAAAAACAGGCGGTTTTAGAATATTTCTGACCCTTCTCAGAGAACAAAGTATAGAAAAATGGAAACCGATATTTGGATAGCTCGCTGTCCTAACTTCACTAACACTTCCAAGAATGGCCACACAAGGCCCATCTAGCCCTGTGTCCTGCCTTCCAACAATAGCCGATGCCAGGTGCTTCGGAATGAACAGAACAGGTAAGTCGTCATCAATTGATCCATCCCCTGTCGCCCATTCCCAGCTTCTGGCAATTCAGTTTGGCTTAAGATAAATGGATCCAAATTCATCTCTGTTGTAATTCCATTTATTTCAAAGACATTAATTCAAAGATGACCTTGTCTCAATGCTGAGAGGCACTTTTGAAATAGGATAGGATCTGATAGACATTCCAGGACACCAGATCTTGTACTGGATTTCCCCATCCTTTAACACATTTTCCTAAAGGAAAATGTTCAGAATGATTCAGCTTCTTACAACACTAGGCATCCATATGTTTTCACTTTGGGTACATCTACCCAGCACGCTTATTACAAAATACGTAATTATGGAATTTGTTTTCCAAAATAGCTTATTTCAAAATAGCATGTCTACACTACAGGGAAGCCTCAAAATTAGTCCCAGGCAGGCATACAAATTAGTCTGAGGCAGGCTTCCCTAATGTGGACTTGCTACCTCAATTTAGAGCCCCAGGAGGCATTGGGATGTTTGAATGACCCTCGGGAGGAGCTATTTCAAAATAGCATCAGTGGAGCATCCACACTAGCACTATTCCAAAATAGCTATTTCAGAACAAGCGTTATTCCTCACGGAATGAGGTTTACAGGTTTTGAAATAACAGAATTGCTGTGAAGACACTCGCATTGTTATTTCGAAATAACTGTGCTGTGTATTCGGACCCTTTGGAAGGATCTCTTTTTGGTGGCAACAGACTGTGGTTAATAAACCCCAGGAAATCAAATCCTCTTTGATTTGGAATATTGGGCAGTGCCTGACCCTGATTCTGTAATTAGATCTACCCAGCTAACCTATGCAGGGCATAATGGGGCAGATTGCAGGACTGAGGCCTTTTTTGCTGGTGACACTAAGGGCAAAATGGCGCAGCGGAGCGCAGCTGGGTGGGGGACAAAACGGAGGGAGGATTTCTCAGTGAAAACTATCAAACAGAGCCACAGGTGAGCAGGCCAATCAAAACATCACCTGAACTTTGCAGGCAGAGCGTCCGTGCTCTGTGCACTTTTCCTGTGGAGCACCCAGAGCATCCCTGCTCAAACGGGCTCATCCAAAGTACCACCCGAAGATGGCTTTTCACAAATCCAAGTAAAAGAAAAGGCCTTTGCAGACAGCGATACATTGGGAAGGCTGTTGATTTATGCCACCAGACCCACATTTTACCATCAATCCTCCAGTCAAAACGGAAAACTCCCAACCTCCAGGATGCTGAATTTTGTCTAGTGCCACACTACTGTCCTGCCTGAAATGAACATCATTTCTAGGTCTGTTGGGTACATTTATATATTCTCCTATTGAAACAAAGTTTCTTATGTATGTGGCAGGCAGCCTTGCAAGAGTCTCCTTTGCCCATTCAGTGTGAGGGGGTAGAGGTTGGATGGGGGGTTCATCAATTGAGTTAAATAAATTCATTTTTCCATTGCCCTCCATTGTTATGGTAAACAGCAAGAGATGTAGATTTCATGCTTTGACTGGCCTATTTTAATAACATTTTTAGGCTGATGTAGACCATGCTATAGGAAAGTGACCAGTTTCCTATTAGTTCATAAACAAGGGCTATGCTGGTATGCGATTTCAGAGAAGTACAATATGGGAAACATATGCTATGCATATAGCATTCACATGTGTTACACATACTTTTTTTCCACGTGGCAATGCATTTGAAAGAGGAAACTGCAGTGATTTAAAGGGCCCGATCCAACTTACACTCAAGTCATTGAAAAGACTCCTAATAATTTTCTAATTTTCCATAAGTTTTATGCTTATAATATGGCCCAGTCAAAAAACCACCCAGCTCACCTACATTCCCTTTGCATGTGTGATAGCTGCTTACTCCTTTCAAAGGTTATGTCTAGACTACAGGCTTCTTGTGCAAGAAGCTTTTTTTGTGATCCATTGAAAAAGTGATGCACTTTTGCTGAAGAGAGCATCCAGACTGCATGGCCGCTCTCTGGAAAGAAAACGCTGATAGCTATTCACAGAATGGCCACCAGGGCACCTGTGCTTTTTTCGATATGGGTTTTTTGAGCAAAAAGAGGCAGTTTCCCATCCACACACACCTTTTTCACAAGAGCTCTTGCACAGAAAGGAGTCACTCCTTGTAGAAAGAGGAATAACTCTTACACAAAAAACCCTCTGGTCTGTTGATTTATTTGTGCAAAAACTCTGCAGTCTAGACATAGCCAAAGGCCTTAACATTGACCTTAACATCCATCACAAATGCCGCCCAGTAATTGTACTGAGCAGTCAAGTCTAACCCCTCGCCATCTCAAGGCACTTCCTAGCATGGTACTGAGACCTAACGAAACCGTCTGGAAAGGGGTGAACAGGAGATGGAAAAAATAACACTTGCAAAAGCTTTGGGCTCCTGTGCAATGGCAGCAAACACAGCTCAGCTCCAGCCTGGAGCAAGGCGGGAACTCAGTGGACAGACCTGGGAAGGGAAACGCTGTCTTGATCTGACTGCCCGCTGCCGCTCCCTTTCTATGTGCTCAGGGCCAAGCAACCGGCACATGCACAACAGCTCCAGAGGCCACTGTCCCAATGTGCCATACGGGCGCTTTCTCGGCTATTAGAGAGCTGAGAAACCTGCTGCCAGGGTGCTCTGGCCTATGGCAGGAGGAAAGAGACTGGGAGGGGGGGCGTATTTCTTTCCATTGAATGGTGGAGCCACCTAGAGTTGTTCACGGGAGACTGAGAGCACTGCCCACGCACTGCGCAAACAGAGGCATTCTGTGCTCTCTCCTGCCCAAGAGCAGAAGAGGAAACGCCACGAAAGGTCCTGAAAGGTGGAATTAAATCCCGACGTGCCGGATTATTCTCTGAAGTTGAGATTTTCAAAGTTCCCTCAAGGAATCTGGATTAACTGTAATGGAAACTGGGCATCTAGTGCCCTTACAGAGCTTTGAAAAATCTCACATCAAGTGTTTTTAATTTACCCTTCCATGGCCTGGGTTCCCGCCCCCAAACCTGTACTCCTAGTTTTACCCAGAATTCTGTAGAGCCAGCAAGATCCCAACAGAATTCCTGTTTCTGTTCTTGCAGGTACCCACACAACAAAGATCCTTTGCAAAACAATTGCTCCAAACTTGATTCTTCTGATGTTACAACTGAGCTACTCTGCTGGTCCTCGACTGAGACATCGGATCACTAATACGGGATTATTAAACCTCAGGGATGCAGTGTGACAAATTTACATGCCACTTTACAAAACTGGAATGAGGCCTCTTTTCTGCTCTGAGGAATCAGCCATCTTAAGTAGATGGGAAATCAGGAACAAGACGAGATGTAATATTTGTGAAACATCCTCCTCTAGTAACTGAATGGTCTCTAGCAGAGAATAGTGTTTCATTGCTGCCGCCAGCTAATGGAGTTGCTCCTTTTTGCTCAAGTCTTTGGTGCTTAGTTTCCCAGGCGTTGAGAACCCATGGTAGGGGAACAGTTCAGGTAAAAGAAGGCATAAAGAGGATAGAAAATGAGGCAACCCAAGTACTAAGGTTTTCTAGAAGTACAATTAAGGAGGGAACATCACATGGGTTGCCAAGTAGAGGGGAAACAGGTTTCAAGAGCCAGTGGTATCATAACTGATGGTGCAAAGCTGAGTGTAGGAGCAAGAGACGAGCAACAGGGTAGGAACAGGAAACAAAGTGGGGAATATGGGAAGCTTAAAGGGAAAGGGCAGATTATGGGGAGACAATACAAGACTTTGAAGAGGATCACAAAGAACATGAATTTGGAGCAATGGGAGAAGGGAAAAGATTCACTGGGACCCAATGACAGGGAAAGTGTGATTACTGGCTTCCCCTATTTCCCCCATCATCCATCTCCATGGCCCATTTGACCCTTTGCCTCTGTACGGAAATACTGACAAAAGCCAGCTTTTGAGACACAACAGCAGACCGCTGGTCACAAAATGAAGGTAGATGAGAGGAAGTTTCCACAGAAAAGTTCAAGTTTTTGTCAAAACAAACAACTTCCAGTTTCAGCTGAAATTTGGGGTTTTTTTTTTTCTATTTTCTTTTCCAATGATAAGAATCAACAATTTTTGAGGAAAGCAGACACTGTCTGGGGGAGAAAACATTTTCCCACCAAAACCCGGTGTAATTTTTAAACCAGCTCTTCCCTGAAGAGCCTAACGTGCATATCGGATGGTAAGTACACCCAGGTGATTGAAAGTTATCGACTCATTTGACACAAAGCCAGAATGCACTAGCCAGGAAAAAGGGGAGGAGAATGCAAAAGGAAGGACTTTGCTTTGAGTTATTGCCCCCACATTCTTCTTACCTGTCTTCGGTTAGCCTCATTAGAGTTGAGCCTCTCGTTGAGAAAACAATGAACGACATCCTCAGCTGGGGGCTACAGAAGGGGACAGATGGAAACGAGAGTGGATGATTTGCTATCCTTTTCTCCATTCGTCCACCCCGTTGGTATTTCTCTTCTCTCTTGCTCTACCCTACTGGCTCCCCACAACGACCCCTCTTTGTGCCACTGTTCCCCTCCCAGCCTTTCTCTGCCTTGTCTTCCTGTAATATTTTTGGGGCAGGGACTCTTTCTCGATGGATATACGTACAGCGCCTAGCACAATGGGGGCATGTTCTTGGTTGGGGCCTATGACTGCTACCTAATAATAATAATATAATCATAAAAAGATGAAGCCTTAAAAGTATCTTTGTCCTTCCCTTGGGAGAGGACTTGTGGCAGCTAGTCAGAGCCCAGCAGGGCTGTATAAAAAGATGGTTGGGCAGGAAGAGCTCACTCTTGCTCCAGCTCTAGAGGAAAAGGCACTAGCAGGGTACCTTGGACAGAGCAGTGCTGGGGGGAGGCAGAGTAGCCAGGGAGCTCAGGCCTGAATAAATCCCAAGCTTAGGCCCAGCGACAAAGGCCAGTGAGGTAGTAGGGCTGCAAAGGAGCAGCCAGGGCAGGAGAAGGCAACAGGTCCAGTGTGCCGCTGAGGCAGGGGCTAGGTGACTGGCAGTGGGTCACTGAGACAAGGTTGGTACAGGGGTTGTGGCTCCCTAGTAGGGGAGGACCCCAGAGCCAGGGGTATCATTGGTACCTCACAGGGTACTGCCGTGGGGAAGTACACTGAGGGTAGGATGCCATGGTCCAGGAGGTCCAGACCAATGGTGGAGAAAGGACAAAAATGGTAACAGCGGCTGAGACTCTGCCAGGAGAGGGCCCTGTGAGGCTGGATGGAGCTGATTCCCAGAGTGGCCAGCAGGAGGTGCCATGGCTGTGAGTCACAGCGACCTATACACCATTACACAACCGCATACACCATTACATGTCACATGCCATCTGACCCCAGTGCACGTCAGCCAGCTGGGTTTCTCTGCAAAACCCGCGTTTCTCTGCAAAACCCGCCTTTCTTACCTTATGAACTTGTGGGCAAGATGTTCCACAAAGAAATAGATTTCGTTCCAGTGATGCATCACGCTTCCTGATCTGGGAAAACAATCATTGCAGGAAATATTAGTTTAATTTCATAGAGTTATGCCACTGCTTCATTATTCCCAGCCTCATGTATTGTTACACATCTGCTCACCTCGTCATTTCTTTTGTCTTAAATCAATCTACGACTAAAACTCCTTTTTGTGTTTCCTTAAAGTGGGCTTGGGGAGAGAGGGTGGAACTCAGCTCCTATCTCAGACCCAACTTGGGGATGCAAAGATTGATATGCTGAGCAGTTGAGGCTGCCACTTGACAAGACTATAGAGCAGCTCCGTCAGACCTTTAACTCGGCGCTAACAAATAACCAGCATTAGAGCTGGTCTATGTCACTGTCAAGTATTTGGGTGGATTCCAGTGGCTGACTTGCCGTGTCATTGAGCCTCGCTCTCAGCATGAGTGCAGTCGGGGAATAGAATGCATTTGGATGAAGGGAACTATTCCTAAATCTGAGCCATGGTGTCCCTTGTGCTGGTGACACTGAGAGGTAAAATCCCTTATTCCTATAATTCAGCCATATCTGCTTTATTCTCTAGCACTGAGGTGAAACACGGTGACATGCTGCTGAGATATTCAGAGCCATGAGCCACAGAGGTGACTTTCTGTCTCAGCAAGAGTGAGTATAATCACCAACAGGCAGATCTGAACCTGGGGGAGGAGCTGCTACAGTTTAAGCGGAGAGCCTCTGGCTTGGTGGCTTTTTGCTGCAGATTACATTCTCTGTCAGCTCCCTGCCAGACCAGTCTTTCTTCTTCACCAGCAGATCCCCCCCTCCCCCAGGCTATTCCTGCCTAAACCTTTCTAAGCAGGTGGCAATCAGTGAATGCAAGCCCCCTGAGTGCCTCAGAGATATTTTCTGCAATGCACAGCCCTTGCCATTGATAGAAGATTAGTGCGCTGTTAAAAAGTCCGTACATCACAGCTGATTTACTTAACCCAGGTAAATATATTCTTCCCTTCAAACACAGCTCTGAACTCGTTTATAGTCAAAGTAAATTGAGTAAATTGACAGAAAGACATAGAGCAGTGATACCAAATAAAGGAGAGAAAGGTAAAGATGGCTGCAAGCAAATGAAAACACATCTCTAAAAGTCTAAAATTGAAGCTAGCAAGATGCAATCTTTAGTTAAGATATTCTGTCTCATGCATAGTCTCCTTTTATTCTGTCTCGTGCATAGTCTCCTTTTTTACTGGCCAGGAACTACCAGAGGCCAAATCACTTGGTTTCTTTGTAACCTAGCATGACAGATAAAGATAGAGTCTGTCTGCTCCTTATATTCCTAAAGGGATTGGTTTTGTCCTACATGTCTTCGCCTCCTGGGAATTCAGTCTTCTGTCTCTCTCTGGGATGCAGGAGCCATGTTAATACTCTCTATAGTTCAGTGCTTTAGTGTAAAAGTTTTGGTTATGGAGGTAAAGCCAAATTCCTATGTCTAGGGTAAATCTGTTTATCACCTTGACCTACACTAAGGTTATGTCTAGACCGCAGGAAATCTTCCGAAAAAAACTTCTTCCGAAAGAGAGCAGAAACACACAAAAGCGCATCGAAAAAGCTGAATGGACGCTATCTCGCATTTAAACTGTGATTACTATGGACGGAGTGGCCACAAGGTCACCCGTGCTTTTTCCTCTTTCCTCTTCTTCCAAAAGAAGTCCCTCTTCCCCTTCCACCCATGCCTTTTTCCGAAAGAGCGCTTTTGGGAAAAGATTTCTTCCTCGTAGAAAGAGGTTTACCAATGCCAGAAAAACCCTTCTGTTCTTTCAATTTTCTTTTGAAAGAATGCAAATGCAATGTGGACATAATTGATTTTTTTTTCCGAAAAAATGGCCATTTTTCTGAAAAAATTCTGTAGTGTAGATACACCCTCGGCGGTCTCATCTTAAACCTGTTCTACTAACATTATGGAGAGGAACATCAAAACTTCACATATAACAAAATCAATATGTGCATTTTAAAGTGATATTAATAATTAGCATGTTATTAGTTTTCATATGATACCTCACAGGTCTTATTTCATCAAGATATTTATTGCAGTAGGAGGTAGGGTGTGAAGACAGGAATATCTATGCTCAGAGGGGTTGGAGCTGAATCCTGCTTCCAGTGAGTTCACAGAGGCTATGTCTACAGTACAAGGTTTTTGTGCAAAAACAGGCATTTTTGCGCAAAAGCCAGTGGAGCATCAACACCTCAAGCACGATTTTGCACAAGAAAATTAACAGAACAAGGGGCTTTTGCCGGTAGAGTTATTCCTCTCCCCACGAGGAATACATCCTTTTTGCGCTACAGCTCTTGCACAAAAAGGCAGGTGTCAATGCTCCAGAGGGGTTTTTGCGCAAGAACCCCCTATTGGCAAAAGCACAGGTGCTCTGATGGCCATTCTGTGAATGGCCACCAGAGCTTTCTTGCACAAGAGCATCCATGCAGTGTGGACACTTTCTTGCGCAAAAGCACTCTTTTGCAATGTGCTTTGAGGTCTGGGTGCACTTTTGTGCAAGAAGTTTTTGCACAAGAACTCCTCTGTAAAAAGCTTCTTGCGCAAAAACCCTGCAGCCAGACAGATTTCCCATTCATTTTCATTAGATGGGGTCTGTGCTGTAATTTTTCTTCTTTACATTGATAAACAGCAAAAAAGTGAGGTTAACCAGACAGTTTTCGCTTTTCAGTCTATGTGCTAACCCTGGTGAGCACTACACAAGTATTCCCACTGAGTTTATATTGTTTCAGTCCACTCACTGGGGTTGTCTTTATTCTGCCATTACAGATTTCATAACTGAAAGAGCAACAATATTACTGGTAAACGCTACACTGAATATCATAGAAGAGACCTGAAATGTGGAAGTTTGGGGCTGGGTGCTGATAAGCTTTTGAAAAAAAAAAAGTAAAAGCATTTAACATTTCTCTGTTATATCTCCTCTCTGGGAAGCCAAACTATGAACCGTAAATGAAATCATCACACACTGCAGAAGCTGGTGCATACAACTCCAGTGTGGCTGTTAAAGTTGTGACTTCACTTCCCTGACAAAGTGCAATGCAAAGCCAAGCCACAGTGCATAGATTAGGCATTCTTGCTCACAGCAACTCAATAAAAACCTGGTTTACTTTCTTATTCTTTCAGGTTTGCATGCAAATTTATATTTTCAGAGGAAACTTGATCATGGGTAAAGAATATAAGGCCTCTCTCTGCTCTCAGTGAAATTCCCATTGAATTCCATGAGATCAGAATTTGGACCCTACTAATAATAACTAGCACTTTTCATCAGTAAATCTCAAAGTACTTTACAAAAAGGAGACCATAGAATCAGTTAGAGGTGGGTAAACTGAGGCACAGAACAGTGAAGTGACTTGACCAATGTTACACAACATGACAGAGCTGGAAATTGAATCCAGCTCTTCCAAGTCTACATTTCATGCTTTCCGCCTACCCCCACTAACCTACACTCCTTTCCACCAGAATCATCTTCTGCTGGCCATTGGTGCAATCTGGTATTCCTATGTTCCTATTAGAAGCCTCTGAACTAAGCTGGTTTTCACCATTTTTTTCTTAAACACAGGGAGGCAGCTACAAATGACAAACAGCCACAGAACCGTAAAGTAGGTGGGTCATTATATAAAACAGTGCCATTTTCCATGGCTCAGAGAAGTCCTACATTTTTTTGCACAGCATTAGCCAGAACTGATCTTAAAACCCAGTTGCTCAAGTCAGTTGTATGCCAGTTGCTAGCAAACTGCGTTCCCTGTTTAAGTGTTTGCCTTTGTGACTGTTGTTCCACAGGACTTAAGATTTAAGTGGTTTTGGAAAAGGCAGTTTTCTCAGTTACACACTGTTTTTTAATTCCCCACATAAGCTTCAGTTTCAGTTTCACCCCCCTTGCCATTTTGGTACAAGATTCCAAACATCTGAAATTACAGCTCTTCTTTTTCCATGAAACCTTCCCACACATCTAGGACACACAGGGGAAGAAAAGCACAAAGTCCAAGACCAGCAGAGATTTCACACGTGGGTTTTAAGGAGAATTTCTTATCCTTCTCACTATGAGAATATTTATTAAAACAACCCAGAGCCCCCCTGCAAAAAGGGTCAGATTCTGATCTCAGGTGGGAAGGAATTAATGGAATTCCAGAGTAATTCCGTTGTTTTCAGCAGAGGTACATCCCTGCGAGTCAGAATTGGTTTCCAAAATGAAATCCTTTGTATCCCATTCCTCCAATACTGGGCTTCTCCATGTTGGGGGGCACGGGGTAGGGGGGGTTGCCCCTTGCCCTGGTGGGGGAAACAAACAACTATTGGGGAGTCTAGTTACTGTAAAAGGGAGAGGGCTCCTTGCTACACGAGAAAGGGGTTGTGCATGCACATGAGTGTGGTGTCACTCTACAGAAAAGAGTTGAGAATAATTCACCCTTTTTATCATACAGTCATTTCTACTTTCAGAACATGTTACAAGCTCCAGGGAACTAATTGCCACAACCCCTCTTGTGTGATAGGCAAGGGTTTTTATACCTATTTTTACACACATGGCAAAGACACGGGGATGTTAAGTGACAATCTTAAGGCCTGGCAGAGAGAAGCAGTGTCAGAACTAGGATTGGAGACCAGTAGTTGCTGGTTTCCCAAACTGTTTTCAGATATTTGACTTGTCCAAAAAATCTTTAGCTAATAGTCATCACAGATCTCCCACCCTCCCTTGCTTACACTCACAAAGCCAGCGTGACACACTGAGCTAGCCAAGTCCAATCAAGAGCTATTAAACTGCATGCTCTGAAGAGCTAGTTGACCCAGAATCTCCAGCCCCAGGCACTACTACCAAATACTGTAGGTCCACCTTCCTGCCCCTTATCCAGTAGTGCAGGTTCTGGGACTGTGGTTGTCCTCCTGACCCAGGGGAGCTGTTCACTATTGAGCTGTTCTCTTCAGCCAGGCAAAGTGGCATCACAACTGTGTTTACAGCTGCAACCTAAGGAGCAAGGATGTTTCCAATTTTCCTCCCTGGCCCTATTG